AATCACGTGAGAAGAACGCCAACGAAAATGTTATCCAGGTTGGAGAGGATAAAACAATTACACAACGTGTGAAACTGCTTAATCTGTATTAAAATATATTATGCTGAACAGAAAGAAATAACGTTTACGTCGTAGGTATTCTTTCAACAGTTGAAGCAGCTTCAGGGACTGACAAGATTTATAGTCTCTCTCAGAGGCAAGAAAGAGATGTGCGCATTTTAGTCAACAGAACGGTATTCTGAAAACTACAACAGACGTTAATTTTGCATCCTCCAGTTGGTCTCTTTACCAGGCAGTCCAGGCAGCGAGGTCTCCGGATCTTCTAACTAGCAGCACAGAAACCTCAAAATCGGTGAAGAAGCGCCACTGTTTAACAACCAGGAGGAAATTCAATTTCAAGGGAGGGAGCAAAAATAAATATGAACAGCTTCGACCCGAAAAACTAACTAAAACTGCGCATCTGATTACCAAGTAGACACTGCAAGCTGAGTTGTATAACCAATACTTCGAATATAGAGAAAAATACATAAAACGACTGGAGGCTGAGAATAGTGAAGAATACACAGTCCTTGTTATTAACACAACACCATCGCTTCAATTCCGAGTTTGCAACAACCCAGAAAACTGCACGACCAAAATACGCGCAAAGACAGAGGTAATTGCTAAACAACACAATCGAATCTGAGGACACAATGAACCAAGTGGATGCAGTCCAGATCAAGTGATCTTCTGTGGGCCTGTTAGCCTAACGCATCTCCTCTACCGGATCTGACTCAGATTTCTGCACAGAATCTTTGAGGATTGAATGCAATCTTCAAAGAACACGCGTTGCTGCGTGCCACAAACGAGGACCACGCCTTTCAAAGACCGAAAAACTCTCAATGTCCAAACTGACCAGCACAACCAAAGAGCAACAGCATCATGTCTCCTGAACAAAATGCCTCCCAAAGGAATTTGGCGAGATTATAGGACCAATTGGCAATAGGCAAGAGACAACTTCGAAACTTTAAAATCAGCATGACCAGCGTGGTCACGGTTACGCAGATTTCGACTTGGGTCTACTGTACACAGACTTTCGAACCAATGCTACACAAGTGAATCACGCAGCACCTGAAACACAATATCAACCAGGACTTATAAGCCCTTGAAATTAAACCGTAAATAACCAACATGATTATTATTCAGTAACGACACCCTTTATGGGAATTCCTTACACCTACGTCCGTAATCAGTGGCAATTACGGAAATGTTTGA